TTAGGTGGTATCCATGGCAACCAAGCCAGCAGCATTTGAATGAAACCGATTTTATTTTATTATTTTTTTTTTGCAAACACATGAAGGTTAAAATGCATGTCTCTGGCCGGGGCTTCCGAGAAGGGGAAGACAGCCTGGCGCTTCTGGTAAAATGGAGACTTTTTTCCACCTCCTCCTGGAAAGGGCATCTGGGATCAGCTTGGCCAGTGGCCTAGTTTTGCAGGTGGGGAGCCCTGAGGTCATGTGGAGGTCACAGAGGGAGTCTGAACTGAGAGAAGACTCCTGGACCAGTGCTCCAAAGGGCTAGGGGTGCCACCTTCACGCCGCACAGTGTGAGGCCCCTTAACATCTCCGGGGTGCTGCTTGGCATGAGCCGTATTGCTTAGACCTCTGAGGACGTGAGGCCCGCGCCTCCCAGTGTCTGCCTCCCTAAGTTAGAAAACAAGTACTGCTAAATCAAAGGCCACAGGCATCTGCATGTTTGTCAAGGACTCAGACTGATCCCTTACAGGCAGAATTGGGATGGGGGAAGGCGGTCAACTTTCCATAAAGAAAGATTTGGCGTTTTGTCTTTGCTCTGGTTGTGGTGGTGGAGAATAGTCACTGCCCTGACCCCCTCCTGACTCACTGGATTGATGATAAATCATGAGCTCAGAGACGGAGAGGGGTTTGCCTGGAGTCACACAGCAGAGGCCAGGTTGAATCCTGTCTCCTAGGGCCAGCCTTGTGTGCCTCCCCACCGCCCACACTCCAGGCACCCTCAGCCTTCTCTGAGGTGCTTGGTGTAGGTTGTTGGGGGGACAGTTTAAGGGACTTTGGCATGTATTCTTACTTCCTGCCTGCAGGAAATTTAGAGGAAGTCGTTTTTGCCTCACAGAACCTCCTTTTCCTCATCTGGAAGGTGGAGCTCACTATAGCTGTCTAAAGTGTCATGTGGGAATTCTATCTTAATGGGTCCAGAACTTGCCTTCTCAGTGGAGGCAATACTGCCCCAAGTAGGTGAATAAAGTTGGTTCTCAGAAGGGAACGGGCAAAACACACACACACACATGCACACGCACACAGACACACACACACAAACAAAAAAAACTCTCTCTTTTTACTGTATTAAAGGCCAACATATGTACAGTACATAAAGGTAGCTACTGTATATGTGGTATTAAAAGTTTCATGGGGGGAACTAAAAAAATGTCTAGAAAGACCCCTCGGGGGACACGATAAGCAATAGAAGGTAAAGAAATGCTGGTTCAGCGATCCACGAACTTATAGTTAGCGTTTCAAGCCGCTGGCAGGCTTGGGAAAGCCCTTTGGGGTGTCAGATGGGGAGAGAGCCTGGCCCGGCCCAGGCCCTGCCCCTGGAGACGTCCGACGTGACACAGCTTCCTTCCTGGCCTGCTTCCCCCACCCTTCTGTTAAGGAGCTGCCTCCACTCCCCGAGCAGAGCAGAAGAGCAGAGACGGGTCTCAAGCAGCTGGGATCCCACCAGGTGGACCAGTCAGGGCCCGGCAGGAAGCAGATGGCACTTAGCGCTGGGAGCTAGGATGATGGGAGGCGTGGGCGGGTGTGTGGAACTTGACAAGGAGTGTGGTACCCCAGAGCCAGTGACAATGGGGGGGGGGTATGATCTACCGAGGCTGAGGGAGGGGAGGTGTGGGAGCGCTCAGGGGGCAGGGTCATCTTGATAGGAGCCCGGACGGTCAGTGGAGGGAGGCAGCCAGTGTGGACGACTCTTCCTCCCCCGATGTCCCTCCAGGGCTCTCTACCGCTGGCCTAACCTCATGGAAGCTGGGGGGCCCTGGAAGCTCAGCTGGTGAGGTCTACACAGCTCAGCCCCTTGGAGCAGAAGGCAGGGTGGAGAAAGTGGAGGACGGGGAGCTGGGGCCGGTGGAAGTTGCCTGGAAAGGTAGGAAGGTCCCCTGTCGCTTTCCTCTGGAGGGCAGGGCCTCTGGGCATGCAGGGGAGGCTGAAAAGTCAGGGAGAAGGACCTGGCCGCTCTGCGCAGGAGGGGGAGGGGACTGTGCCCCATCCTGCAGCTCCTGATACATTTCTGTGTTCTCATGTGGGTGGGGCACGGCCGGGGCTTCTGAATTGAAGTCTAAGGCTATTTGGGGAGCACCCGAGAGAGCCTTTGCTCTAGTCCTGCTGAGTTAGGGGCTAATGAGCAAGTTCCTTTCCTCTGCCATCAGCTTCCTCATCTGCACATTGGGTGGTTGGATCAAGCAACCCCGAGGACCCCCCGGTTCAGACCCAGTAGTCAAGAGGCGTGTTCTGCACAGGTTGTAGGGAATATCAGGCTTGGTGTCAGGGGAGAGGCAGCCTTGCTGGGCTTCTCTCGCCCTCCCAGCTGACTCCTGTGTGTCCCACCCGGAGCCATGGTGGCCTGCCTGCCCAGGAAGGGTGGTGGTGGAGCTGTGTGTGTGTGTGTGTGTGTGTGTGTGTGTGTGTGTGTTGGGGGAGGGAGGGGAAGTTCCTGAAGGGCTTCTGGATGCTGAGCGCTGTGCCTCATACACGGGTAGGACCCAGTAGTCATGGTGGACACCCAGGTGGAGGTGTTGGGGGGTGTGAGGAGGGAGGTGAAGGTAGACTGAGGAGCACAAAGAGATTTCCTAGAGAAACCTCCAAACGAGTGGGTGTCTCCTAGATTGTGACTAACAGGGACCGCGGAGGAGGAGGGAAGAAGGTTCTCAAAGGAAGCAACGCAAGGGAAGCACCTAAGAGATCTCAGCCCCTGGGCTGGGGAGAGGCTGAGTAGTGGAAGATTTTCCAGAAGAGGTGACCCAGAGCTAGTGCCCACTGGGGCCTGGTATCACCCTCGCCGTAGGTCTGCCTGGTAGTTACGCCTGCACCCATCCCCGCAGGTGGCCCCATTCCCCCGGGCCCGGGGGCATTGCCTGCTGGCCGTTGGCCAGGGCTCAGTACTGGAGCCTATCCTGCAGGGTGGGGTGACGGGCTCCATTCTGTCCTTGCACACTTCTGGCTATGTGGAGGGAACGGACTGGAAAGTGTAGGCATTGCCATTCTGCCTTCTGGGACAGCTTGCTCCCCGTCATCCATCCTGCGGATGTGCACACGTCCACCCGTCCTCATGTGTGTGTCCCTGGGGACGAGTCTGCACGGGTCCACATTGAAGTGTCCGCGTAGATGTGGACGTGCACTTGCATTTGCAGAGCATGCATCCCTGTGTGTGCGCGTTCCCCAGGGAAGTCTCTGCGCTGTCCTTTTTCTTCCTTTCAAGCCAACAGGACTTTCCCGAGCAGCCCCCACGTGCCGGGCTCCACACAGGGTACTGGGGGGTGTGGAGGTGCCGCCAGCTTGGCCATGGGCGTTAGGAATTCCACAGCCAAGCAGAGAGAGAGAGAGAGAGAGAGAGAGAGAGAGAGAGACACGCACTGTGTGCCAAGCGAGAGCGTGGGTAGGAGGCTTGGCCTGGCTGCTGCTAGAGGAGCCAGAAGCGGGCTGAGAGCTGGAGGGGTGGGGTGTGCGGAGAGCTGACCCAGGGGTCTCCCCCGGGGCCTGCGGGATGGGACAGCCCGACTGGAGCACCGGCCCAGGGTGTGGGGGAGCCAGCCAGGGGAGCGGCCGGTGGCGCTGAACTGCACCGGCGTGCTCAGGTCACTGCTGTAAGTTGTAATGAGCTGTCACTATTTAAAAATCAAAACATTTCATATATTAAAAAAATTTTTTTTAATGTTTATTTATTTTTGAGTCAGAGAGAGACAGAGCTTGAGGTGGGGAGGGGCAGAGAGAGAGGGAGTCACAGAATCCAAAGCCCGGCTCCAGGCTCCAGGCTCTGAGCTGTCAGCACAGAGCCCAATGCTGGGCTTGAACCCATGAACGGTGAGATCATGACCTGAGCCGAAGTCGGACGCTTAACCAACTGAGCCATACAGACGCCCCTAAAACATTTCATATTTTAAAGGGCTCCGATTTCCAGCTTTTCTTGAGCTGTGGGAAGCCGTGGCTACCCTGACGCCGCCCCCCCCCCCCCTGGAGTCCCCCCCCCCCCCCCCCCCCCCCCCCCCCCCGCTGCCCGCCCATGGCTACACTGAAATACCCAGCTGCCTGCTACACTTGATCCCAGAACCTGCCAGCCCTTGTGTTCCCATCAAGTTTAAGGCCTCTGGAAAAAAAGATCCAATTTGGAAGCCAGAGATCACAGATCCTCATGTTTAAAGGGGCTGCTTCTATACCTCCAGTAACAGGAAGCTTATTATGTCACAAGATAGATGACTCAAAGTGAAGATTTGGGGAGACCTTTTTTTAAAGAAAACATTGGGATATATAAAATGAAATTTGCATTTTCATCATTTTTAAGTGTCCAATTTAATGGCATGAAATACATTTACAGTGTCGTGTGACCATCACCACTACCCGTTTCTCGCCCTTTTCCATCACTCCAAACAGAAACTCCTATCATGAAGCAATACCTCCCCATTCTGCCCGTCCCCAGCTCCTAGGTCACCTCCGACCTACTTTCCATCTCTGTGAATCTGCCGATTCTAGGTGTTTCTCTTAAGTGGACCCATACAACATTTCTGTCTGGCTTTCATAGCTCAGCACGTTTTCAAGGTTCACCCCCACTGCAGCACGGACGAGAGCTTCTGTTGGTTTTTATGAGGGAACAGCATTCGTTTGTCTGGATGCGTCACATCGAATGTGCGAACGGCCATCCATTCACCTGTGGATGGACCCTTGGGCTGTTTCTACCTCTGGGCTGTTATGAATAGCACTGCTATGCACATTTGCATACAAGTCGGTGTCTGTGTCCGCATCCCTGTTTTCAGTTATTCAGGGTGTAGACCCAGGAGTAGAATTGCTGGATCATGGGGGTAACCCAGCCCTTAACTTTCCGGGGGAACAATCAAACCATTTTCCACAGTGGCTGTACCATTGTAGGGGGGCCAGTTGCCTGTTGTCCCTGCCAGGATGGGAATGACGGGAAGGCCCGACCGAGTGGCCCCCATTGTCCGTCCTCACCCTGTCTCTCCCTCTGTTGACAGAGTCGCCCCAGGAAAGGCCAGGCTCCCGGCGCAGTCTGCCCGGCAGCCTCTCAGAGAAGAGCCCCAGCATGGAGCCCTCGGCCACCACGCCGTTCCGGGTCACGGTAACTATCTCTGCGTCACCATCGCCACCTGGCCTGGGGTGCCGCTCTGCGACCCCGCGGGCGCCCTTCCTGGAGCCTCACGGACCGGGAGAGAATCCAACCTCCCTTGTTCTAGGTATCCGATCGCTCAGCTGCTCCCCTCTCTGTGGCTCACAGCCTGGGGGCCACATGGGGGTCCCGTCCCTGAGGGAGGGGGAAAACAGAGGACAGACAACCCTGCAGCCACGGGGTCCAGAGCAACCCGGCCGGGGAAGGGAGAGTCCAGTGTGAGGCCAGATAAACACCCTCGTGTGGGCACACGCACGCCACGCTCCCGTGACTCTTAGATGCACGATTTTTATTTTTACATTTTAATATCTCTCACGTTGCAGTCTGTGGCCTGTCATAATTTAATTGCTGCGTTTTTTTCTTTCATGGAGATGCATAAAATAATGCTGCATCTTGAAATTGATGAGGTCTTAGAATTGACAAAGCACCATGTATATACGTTAGCTATTGATTTCAGTGGCCTCGCCAGCACACACCTTTTTGTAACAAACCCAAACAGCTTTACGGAGACGGAAGGCAGGGGCCCTTATCCTGACTGTGCCCCGCTGTGGCCTTGCCGAGCATGCACAGTGCTGTATGTCACCGTGCGCCCCTCTGTCCAGTGCTCTGTCAGCCACAGAGAAGTATAGACAGGGAGAAGCAGTAAACACCGTCTCTTCCCCTGGGAGCTCATGGTCGATAGCGGAAATGGATGGATGCTTGATCATGACTTCATCCACTCCTTCATTCAGCAGCTTTTATGGTGCGCCCACTGTGTGCCAGGCACCACTATTGGGACCAGGGATGGGGCTGAGTGGGTGGAGCTGGCCAACAGAGCCCCAGGCAGACCCTCTCATGGTCGAGCTAGGTGCTATGAAGAAAGGCAGGCTGTGATAGAGGACACCAGGAGGGCTTCCTTGAGGCGGTGTGGTCGAGAGGTGATATCTGCGCCAAGGCCCAAGGGATAAGGAGCCAGCCCTAGGGTGTCAAGGGAAAGAGGGTGGTGGGTGGAGGGAGCAGAGAGGGCACAGCCCTGGCTGTCACCATGCAATGTGATTTGGGGGCTCCAGGTGAGCTAGGGGTAACTCGCTGTTCCCTGTGCGTCAGAAAGGGTATCCTCCTGGGGGCTGAGTTGGTCTCCGAGGGTAGACAGGGACAGTGAGAGAGGGAGTTCCAGGTAGGGGGAACAGCAGCTGCAAAGGCACAGAGGCACGCTAGAAACTGATGTGTTTGTGGAACGGCGAAGTTCATGGTGGGGCTGGAGTTGAGAGGTATGGAGGACAGGGTATGGGGTATGGCTGGGAAGCTAGGCTGAGTCTGGGTCAGATGACCTTCAAAAGCCAGGCTAAGGGGGTGGGGCTTTCCTCAGGGCAACTGACCCTCCCACTTGACTGTGTCATAAGAATGCTTGCAAAACAGCTTCTTAGGCCCCCTCAGGATCTCCGTGCAGTGGGCCAGGGGCAGGGCCGGGGTTTCTGCTTTTAAAGAGCTCCCCGAAGCCTCTGAATTAGCCTAGGGCAGCGAGGAGGAAAGGGAACCTGTGCTGAGCTGGATTCACAGTCACTCCCCGGGGTGTGGTGGGGGCCGCTGGGAGATGGTCTCCAGCCTGCACTGAGGGCAAGGACGCTGACACCTGGGTGACCCTGACTCCAATCAGTCAACTGGAGCCCAGGTCAAGTCCTGCCTTCCCCCGGCCCTTGGGGCCACAGCTGCTGGGGCTGAGCCTTCAGGGGCCTTAGGGAACAAAGACTAATAATAACGTAGCCACCCGCACTGTGCTTCCGGTCTTACATACGTGATCCTTTTTAATCCTCAAGACAGCCCTGAAGCTGAAACTTCGATCACCCCATTTCACAGATGAGAAAACTGAGGCTCAGAGAAGGGAAGTCACTCAGCCAGGCTCCACCAGCTACTAAACGGTAGAGCCAAGATTGAGACGCAGCCTCTCTGACATGAGTGTACTCCCGGCTGTGAGGAAGGGAGCCGTGGCCCCCATGCCCTCCCAGAACCTGTTTCCCCTTACCTGTGCCCCCTTTTTTTTTTCTGCTCCGATAGATGTATCATCACACCTTGAAGTTGCTATCACTGTAGCTCTTTAATCGCCGGGTAGCTTTGGCATCCTTCTTGTAGCTATGTCTTTGCTCCATTAACCACGTGTGGGTCAGAGCCAGCCCCAGGCTTCTGAACCCCCAGGCGCTGGGACTCACATCCTGCCTGCACGAGCGGGATCTGCAAGGTTCACAGTGTATTCACTTGTCGTTTTACCTGCTTCTCACAGCAACCCGGAGGGGAGGGACCATTAGTGTCCCATTTCACAGATGAGGGAACTGAGGCTGAGAGACGTGACAGAGTTTGCCTGGTGTCATGCGGCTCCTGAGTGATGGACATTCACATTTTGTGTCCTTCCCTGGGCACCTTGGTCCTTTTCCGTGTGGAGCAGTTAAGGAAAGGGTGTGAGTTTCTATATTGGGCTGTGCTTGGAGCTCAGAGGTGCTAGAGAGCTCAGAGATAGGGATCTGCGTTCAAATCCTGACTCTTCCGTGATCTCTGTGACCTCAGCCTCTCTGAGCCTCGTGTCCTTATCGGTAACGTGTGGAATGTCCACCCTCCCTTGAAGGACTGTGGTGGACCTTCGTGAGTCCTGGCACGTCGCAGCCCACGTCTGACCCAGGGTAGACAGACACTCAGTACAGAAAATCCAGAATTATCCTTGGAATCGTATTTCCCTTTTTGGCTTCAAAACAGTACAGATCTGGGGAGGGTTGGGGTGGAGAGCAGAGGACAGGGCATTGGGGGGAAGGTGGGAGGTGAGCCTGCCTTGGGTGTTGGGGACAGACCCTGGGTAAGACCAGAAGCACACCCTCTTCTCCTGCCCCAGCCTACACTTGCTCACACACGCTGCCACAGGCCACGCCCTCCGGCGCCTGGCTGACTGCCGCTGTGCACAGCCCCCCGAGGGGACCCGGGGAACATGGTTTTGCCTAGGGGATGCACGGGAGACAGCACAGGATATACCTGAATAACTGGTGTCTTCGCTGCCATTTGAAACTCCGGTGACAGGATGTCACCCCCTCTCACAGAAGTGCCCTTTTGCGACCATGTAGTTTAATGGAGAATCAACATGCTGTGTTCTATCCGATTCATTCTGTGTGCCTCACCCGGGAAGACTAAAGCCTGAAAGGGGCTGGGCTTGTCCAAGGTCACCACTCAGCTAAGAGCACTTCTGGGTCCGGGCTGTTTGTACCCATACGTGGTCCTAACCTTTTGTGATTTGGACTGGGATTGTAGCCACCTCACAGTGCGTCAGGGGCTCGGTGCAAGTCCTGCCTCTGTGTCTTGGAGATCATGTGACCCTGGAGGACCCTCAGTTTACCCTTCTCTAAAATGAGGCGTGTGGACTTTGTAAGGTGACATGTGGTTTGGGCATATAGTGGGTGCTTAAATATTTTGATGCAGTAACGAAAAGAACGAACTGAAAAGTCAGCAGACTCAGGGCTGAGCTGCAGATGAGCTTTGTGACCTGGGCAAGATAGGGAGCGTTTGCCCATCTCTTAGGACTTCCTTTTATCTACAGGTGGAGTTGGGGGTGAGGGGTGGGTCACTAGGATCTCACGGTGCTAGCAGGCTGGGGTGTGCCCTAGACGAGTGTAAGATGGGGAAGGGAGCCAGAAGCAGGTGACCCAGTGGACCACCTTCTGCCCGTCTCTGGCCCTCAGCTCGCTGGCTCCACAGAGACGTTGAGGCCGCGATTCAAACCCAGATCTGTCTTCTCTGCACCCGCAGGGAATCCTGGAAGGAAGAGAGGGACAGAGAGAGGGAAGGCAGGCAGCCAGCTGGGGCCCCGTATCTGCACACACTCACTGTCAGACTGGGTCCGGGGCTCCTCATGGACCCGTCTCCCTTCCCAAAGCCCAGGCATCCTTAGCACAGCAGCAAGTCCCCCCTTCTCACCGGCCACTCGTGTGAAGAATTCATGGTTCGATTCGGCGGGAAGGCGATGGTGACAGTTAGCGGTCTCCCCGCGGGTCTCCTCAGCCCGCCACCTCCCCCAGGTCCAACCTCCCCTGGTGTCGGCTGGGTCCTCCCTGTCTGCCTCCTCTGCCCCGCCCCCTCCCATCGACCTTGAGGGCAGCTGGCAGGGCTGGGGTGTGGGAGGTGGCAGAGGCTCTGGGAAACTTGACAGCCAATTGATTCCTCCTCGGGAAGTTGAAAGTGGAGAATCGTGTTTGAAGGTTTAGCTGAAATTAGGTCTCAGGGCTATTTTTTGCAAGATGGAGAAGGAGACGTGTCAGGGAGGGGAAGTCCCAGGGGGGTGGCGGAAGCTGCGGATAGACTCAGTCGCGGGTTGATTGCAGATGCTTCTGGAAGGGGGTCTTAATTCCTTTCAGGCATCTACTTCCGCTGGCTGCTCGTTTGTGCCCGCCCTGGGTGGTGTGACGGAGGTGTGGCTGGGGTGCTGCGGGAACCCAGAACAAGGGCGGCTACCGTCGGCTGGTAACGGTAGGGAAGAATTCCTAGAGGAGGCATCTTTGGGGCTGAGTTTTGAGGGATGTGTAGGAGTTTGTCAGGAACAAAGGGAGAAGAGTATTCCGGCTGGGGGACACGAGAGTGAATCAGAGCAAGCCAGCCGCCCTGTGTGATTGGAGGGTTGATGCGCCGGAGACATGAAGGAGGGGGCACTGGAGAGGCAAGTGAGTGGCTGAAGGCTCTGGACTTTCCCCTGTGGGACACGGGAGTCACAGGCGAGGCCCGGTGGGAGTGGAGCCGGCAGGTGCAGACTTGCAGCCCTGCACCCCCCCCTCCCCACTCCTGCGGCCTCCCTGCGCCCTCCTCATGTTCAGCTGTCTTTTCCCATCATGCACACGGGACCAGGCACGTGAACATGAACACACAGACCTGTGGGGACCCCTTCCACACCGCCGTGGAAGCTGTTGGAAATGATCACGAACCCTTTTCCATACAGAGGAAGGCCT